TTTTCTATAGATATTTCTAACAGTCTCATGTTTGAGAAATGTCATCTATATAATATGGACCTGGTCCTACCTCCAGTAAGTTAAGCCACATTTTTCCTATTACAATTATTGAGTAGCCAGACTACCTTCCAGTCAGTCCTGGAAAGACCTGATCAAAAGCCTGTGGAGGTGAGAGAACCTTTTCAAGTCTCTTGGTTCGGTTTGGTGCCCCTGCGGATTCGTTAGCCGTTTTCCTCCACTTCCAAGCAGATCTACAAGGGATGTAGTAATCTAATCAGGTCTGACAACAGTGCTTCACCAAAACACAGCGCCATCGTGAAAAGCCATATGTTTAAAAATGCATGCCTTGAAGAATTTCCCAAGGCCCGTCCCCAAATTGCTTTCACTTACTGTGTTTCTCAGTGTTTTCTTATAATAATCCCAGGCCAGACTTATGGTGGAAAGCACACTCAGTTCATCAAGTGAAGTCCCCTGCTATTATTGTCACCCTACTAAGTAGTCTCTTTCATAATACAGAGTCAATGAATTCAACAGAAAACATGAGAATACATTGATCCCGACATCTGACCCAGGTCAAAAGATTATACAATAAATGGACAAGTAGACATATTAAGGACTTTTCCTCATTGATTTAGATCAGAGTCCAGTGACATGGCAAAGGAGACTGATCTCCTAACTGTATCAGCCATCTGTTACTTTTGATAGTGATGCTTATGGATTCCCTGTCTCTCTTGAGACAGAAAAATGTTGTACATGCAAATGAGTATAAGATCAAGTTTCTATTTCTGGAAGAATTCATAATGGATGGGAATTATTTCAATACCTGATTTGATACTTTTCAAACTACTTCACACTACTAAATCAGAAGACTTCCTTTCAAAAAAAAAAATCCTTTAGGATAAAAGCCGTCTAAGCCATCTAGCAAAATAACAGTATGGAAACATTAAAAAACAGTTCCCTCTTGTCATTATTTTCATTCTGTGAGCTCCTAATAAATAAAATACACCTTTATTTTCCAAATACAATCTCACAGATGTCATGAGGCAATCTGTAAACTCACAATTCTAAATATACATTCTTTTTAAAAAAAAAACTTAGTAGCTACCTTGTCAACTATTTCACCTTGATTCCAATTCTACAGCTTATAACACATGGCTATATTAAACCTATTGACACAAGGATAAGTAACTAGTGCAGTTTTGCTCATCTGTTAAAAAAAAAATGTTTAGGAATCTAGGAAAGCAGACATACATATGCAGAATAATTATCTAATAATGGAAACTGAATGTGCAGATATTCAGTTACAAATCCATGAATTAAAGGTTCTTTTAAAAGTGATGCTCGTTCTCAAATTTGATTAATTCTGAATGGATTCAAAGGAGTTTCCCCTTGGAGGTAAGGATATGTGCTCCCTAATTTGAGTAATGTAAATTTGTGGTAACTTCCTTGCAGATTATGAACAGGTGATGCATATTATTGGGGAAACACTGTAAGTCCTCCACCAGAAAGCTGAGGCTCCATACCAGCAGAAAAAAAAGTCCAGTCAGATCAGATCTAGCCAGATCCTTTCCTAATAAAGGACAGACTTAGTATGCTTGTTGGAAAGGGAAGAGAAAGGGGAGTCAGACAATTTTCTATAGTCTAGATCAACAGATCAGCTTTGGCAAGGCCAAAGAGATCATTGGAGTGACTTTTATCTCTCTATGCTGTTTTGTACCATCTCTCACCTTGGGAAGGTGAGCACCAGTCTGGATAGAAGCGGAAATCCAAACAGGAACAGAGGTGATAAAATGAATTGTCACAATGTCCTTTTACATGTCCTTGGAGGAAAGAGAGACAGGGTGGCTTTTTAGAGAGAGTATGGCTAATAACTAACCCTTGTATTGAAGTATTTCATAGATAATGTAATTATCTATATATCTAATTGCTTTTCAAGTGTTTTTTTTTTTCTATTAAGTAAAATCATTTGATTGCTCACCTTCTTTTGGAAGGTCCAAGGGTCAGAGACCACTTTCCCTAGAAGCATCACATCCAACATTGCCCCTTTACAAATGAATTGTGTTTAGTTTACAGAATGTTCTCAGGCAGGCTGTATGTCCAGTATCTAATGCAAGGAACCTATACTGTCACAGGTAGGGCAGCCCCTAGCAGTTTCTCTAATGCAATATTAATAATAATAACTGCAATGAGTTTCTGATAGAGAATCTGTTAGATGTGAGAGCAGGTTGTGTCTTCCACCTGCTTTGCACCCAGCTGCACTCTCTTTTCTAGGTGTGGGAAGTTTCAGGTTAACATTTTTAAATGCCAGTTCAAATAACTAATCAGATCTAGATAGCTCTTACAGAACTTTCTCTAAAAGTACCTGAGTATATGGTAGCTAGCAGTAATCTTCTGCTGTAGTAAGGAACGATTTGTGCTCGCATAACAAATTGTTTTAAGATCTAAAAGAAATTATAGTTGTCTTCAGTACGTCTGGAATGGACAATTCATCTGGGAATCCTGAGACTAGACTTTTCTTTTTTTTCTTTCTTTTTTTTTTTTTTTTAGAAAGCTACCTTGCCACTGGCCCTGTTGTACTGAATAGTAACAACTTGGCTTGCATTTTTTATCAGTGATCTTATAAGATCAGTTGATCTTATCAGTGATCACTGTATCAGTGATCTTATTGCCACTGATGGCAATATTAACTCCTTAAGGATAGTTAGTAACACTGGGGCTAGGTTGATAGTAAGCTGTGAAATTGAGTTATACATTGGAAGGGTGGTTACACAGAAGATTTACTTCTGTTATTTTTATTATAAAATAAATCGTTCAGTGTTTTAGGGTGATATTTTCCTTCATTTACCAGTATAACTCTGGAAACTCACAGAAATACTTCGGAGGCAAAGGGATAAAATAGAGAACAGAAGAGGACTCAAAGTGGTATGGTAGGTGGTAGAAAGCAAAATTAAGTACAAAGCAGTGCATTTTTTATATAATTATATTTTTTACCATGGGTGCACCTGTACTTGTGGAAGTAGAATTGCTTTAACTGAATTTTAGTCCCATGTTAACGAACCAGAGAAATGTCTATATAACATAGATGTTAAGGACCACTTCTCTGGTTCGTTATATATGTTCTATATATATGTTATATAGATGTTAAGGACCAGCTATATACTATATATACTATATATATATGCTATAGCTGGTGAAAAAAAAATCCATTCGAAATTTGGAAAACAAAAACAACAACAACAACAAAAAAAAAGTTCTGTCTCCTTACTGGCCTCGATTAATCCCATAGCAAAAGTAATAATAAAAATAGTTACTGAAAGAAGAGTCCGTCAATTCGGGAAAAAAAAAAAAAAAAAACTTAAATCTGAATCTCTCTCTCTCTTTTTTTTTTCCCTAATAAGGGCATCAACGTTTATGTGTTTCCAAATGCGTTTTTATAAGGGTTAACAGGTGGATTCAGAAGCAATTAATTTATGTAAATATCCCCTTATAGTCACATATGGAAAGAGGGGACGGTTCAGACTGTTAATTCTTTGTCTGCACCTTGATGGGACCTGCAGATTAGGCAGGTGCACCCGATAGTGTCTCCTTGACCACTTAACACTCTCGTGTCTGTTTCGTTATGTTATTCTTGCACTAGAGCTAAAAATAGGTATTTTTCCAGAGCAGAGGTACCTGTGAGACTCCTTCCCTCCTCGTACCTAATTCGAGACTAAAAGCCTAGGAGAGAGGTCCAGCAGGCGATGCCGTGTGAGCCGCGCAGCCCCAATCTCGCTATCGAGAGGGGCTCCACGGCCCCTTGAACTGCACCTGACCATATTCCCATTAACAGCAATTTCCCGACCGGAAAATAATACAAGAGAAAAGTCACGGAGCCCCCGTCCACGCCAGGCTCTCCTCTCACTACTGGCAGACGAGGGAATCATTGGCACAGAGGTTTAGTCCATGTATTTATTTATTTCTTGTGGAAGTAAAAATGGAGCAGAAGTGGGAAAAGAAAAGAAAAGTGGAAAGGCTTTTTTAGCGAAAATGCCTTCCTTTTCCCATTTGGAAACTCTGCAACTTTTCTTTTTTCTCGTGAATTTGTCGCATATCTACTCGAATCTACTCGACTGTTCCACCCTCACCAGGATTTTTCCTTTCAGCACACTGCATGTCGGGTCTGATTTTTTTTTTTTTTAGAACTCTGAGTCCAGTAATAGTTATTTTAATTGCCCTGATGATTCCATAAACAGCTCAGTTATTTTTTCATCTAGCCTATAAATGGACTGTGCGGGTAACATTTATGCAGAGTAAAAGGTCAATTTCATAATACCACAACTGTATTTTAACCTTTATTTTTAAAATGAAAACCACCAATGCGCTCTAGGAAACATCTCTCTTTTCACACTGCCTTGGAGTAATTGCATTTAAAAGGCATGATAAAATGCGTCCTGTAAGAAAAGACTGATTTTCCACCTTTGAACATGAAGAGTGTGAAAACTCGAAAAAGAAAGGAAGATAAATGAGTTTAGATATCTATTAAATTATAATTAAAAAAATCGTTACTGTAGAATAGATAAAGTTTCCCCACAAGATTTCAGAGGAGTTAGCAGGAAAGGTATGAGAGAGCTTGTCTCTTTTTTTAGAGAAAAATAAAATCAGGCACGCCACAGTTTGAGAACCAGATTTGAGGAAAAGTGTTTACACTTTGATAATATGGGGCAGGAGTAGGGGAGCAGTTACTCTGAAGGATGTTACAGGTGGGGAGATTGAGAGACAAGGGGTATCCCGGCCTTTGTTTTGGAAATGCCGCCACCCGGTTGCGCGGCGCCCTTGTTGGTCACCGACGGCTGCCCCGACCCTCGCGGCCGGCGGGTTCGGAGGGGCAGGCGGCGCCCGCTGTCCCCGGCAGCGCGACGCGGTGGCCCCGTCGCGGGCAGCCCCTCCGCGGGCGCGGGCGGCCCGGTGGGGGACGCAGAAATCACGTCCGGGGTTGCCCGTCCCGGAGCGGTGGCGGGGGGTTATACGTCCCCGTCGAGCAGGCTGAAGTATTTGGCGGGGCTGGGCAGGCAGAGGTACAGGAGGGAGCTGCCCGGGCAGAGCAGGGGGAAGGACACGGGCAGCAAGCAGCGCCCGAGGAAGGGGCTGTCCTTGTAGAGGGCCGGCAAGGCAAGAGCGGAGGGGGCCAGCGGCAGCGCGGGGGTCTCCGTCGGGGCCGGGCCCTCGGGCTCCGCCGACATCTGTCTCTTGAGCTTGTTGCGGCGGTTCTGGAACCAGATCTTCACCTGTGTCTCCGTGAGGTGCAGCGAGGCGGCGAGGCCGGCGCGCTCGGCGCTACTCAGGTAGCGCTTCACGTCGAAGGTGGACTCGAGCTGGAAGACCTGGCTCTTGGAGAAGATGGTGCGCGTCTTCTTCTTGCTGCCCGCCGCCTTGCCGCTCTCCTTGCCGCAGCCCGCGGCTCCCACCGCCTCC